TCCATCTTCTCTCCCACCTATCCGCCCATCCCACCTCACTGACCAATCCCCACCGCTGCCTACCCGCACTCACCTATCACCACCCCACCTACCTTCCCCAGTCCCACACCTACTCTCTCTATTTATTTCCCAGCTCCCTTCCTCCTCCTCATTTCTGAAAAAGGGTCCTGACCAGAAACGTTGACTTTCCTGCTCCTCTGATGCTGCCTGGTGGGCTGTGCTCCGCCAGCTTCACACTGTGTTGTCTCTGACCCAGCATCTGCAATTCTTGCTATCTCTATGTATTTATATTGCACCTTTCTTGACTCCAGGATGACCTAAAGCAGTCCCTGAAATTGGGACAGTCCTTGAAATTCTGAACCGTTGTCACCAGAAGACAAGTTAACAGGCTAATGCTGGGAGGCAGGAGCTGCCTGAATCACAGAGCTGTAAGATAAGATCACTTGGATAAGGAATTGATCCAAAGTGAGCATGAGAAGCCTGACTAAATCTAACTAAACAGACATCTTGGGGAGGGAGGTTCAGTAAAGTATATTTCAGATCACCATGATTTGAATGATATTTTTCAAATTGCTCCCTTGCATATTCATGACTTCATTCCACCATTTTTCCCAAAATAAAATAACTAAAAGTACATTCCAAAACATTTCAAATTGGATATTCCAGAAAGGGCAATAAAGTGCAATGTTTTACCATTGAGAATGATGCCCTCCTTGGTGCCTCAGTGCAATTGCAATACATTGTAATCGGTAGTTCACCAATGCTTTCCCCTGGGGCAATTAGGGATGGCCAATAAATGCTGCAACAACACCCACATCCCACAAAGGAATTGAAAAAGGGACATTTATTATATATATTAAATAAAAAGCTTATAACTGAGAGTTACCAGCCCCTCGATGCGCTTTGACTAAAAGGCCTCAGACTGTGGCCCTTCACCATTGCAATTACCTCAAAGCTTTAGTATATCCATTTGAACATAGCTCTACACTTTGAATATGCCACATCCACCATCCCTTCAGCTTCGTGGGCCTTAAGCTCTAGAGTTCCCTCCCTACACCCCTCCATCTCTGACTTAATCTCCTTATGTACCTAGGGATCAATTTATGCTTGTTGTGTATAGAGACTTTTTATTGTATTGAGGGCACTGTATAAATGTAAGTTGTTGCCATGCCTCTTATCTGTTTTACTTTAGCATGTTATTTAGGAAAATACAATTAAGCGTATTTTTTGATTTTGGACCTTGCCCATATTTTGAATTTCTGGCTGCTCTACATCCAATGTTGTCACTGTTTGGAAGCTCGTGGTATGGGTTTGGCAGGCTCTGTATTAGATTTGCCACATTGATGGAAGATATATTGAAAAATAATTTCTGCTTCATTATTCTGGGAAATTGCATGTCCACTGCACATGTTATGTGCAATAATGGCTGACTGTTAAATTGGTTAATAACTTTTGGACACACCATATTCTTTAATGGAATGTGATAATACACTACTTTAAATTGACTTCCATTGAAAAGAGATGCAGTAAAATTAAGAACTGGAGAGGATTGGGTCAAGTATACTCTTATCCAGCTAGAACATTGAGCTGGGATGGTCAGCAAATTAGTTTTCAGGATTTGTACTAATCTGTGCAAATTTGGCAGGTCAGTAGGGCAAAGGTATCATTTAACTTTTGCCACATGTAAGGAGGGAAGCCATCTAAACTCTATGATATTAGTTCAACATTTTCTTTCAAGGCACAGGGTACATTTATGAAGATTTTCTGAAGAAGGGACCTGGCCCAAAATGTCAACTTTCCTGCTCCTCTGATGCTACCTGGTATGTTGTGTTCCTCCAGCTCCACACTGTGTTATCACTGGGTACATATCATGTCGTGGACTGCAGTGGTTCAAAGAGGCAGCTCGAGTTTAATTAGGGACTGACAAAATATGCTGGCTCAGCCAGCAACACCCACATTCCACGATTCAATACAAAAAAAAGAGCTTTCAAGACAACAGTCTGGCATGTAGTATGACTTTATTTAGACTAGTTGCAAGATGGCAGACCCCTGTCAATGGCTCATGGTAGAAGCAATATGACAATGGTAGGCCAGGAGGCAGATTGATACAAATTGCGTTGCTAACCCAAACATCCCCCTTTTCATATAAAAACAACAGGGAAAAAATGCATGCATTATCATGTATTTTTTGAGTTACACAAATTACCCACAATGCACATGACTGCTCTCATGTATTAGCAGTTGTTTATGCTTCTCGGTTCTTTCATATGCATTGCACATAATGTTCTTTCCTGAGGGAAGTGTTGTTCTGTGTCATTCGTAGTTGCTATGCTATCTGCTGTTGTTCCATTTCTGTTGTTATGGCTTTGTGGACCACTGGATCTAATGGTTGATTTGTGCACTGTGCAGGTGATGTGTTCAGATCTTCCTGATTGGCCACCAGCAGTTGAGGAAAAGCTTCTCCGTTGGGCTTATGTGCATGCAGTAGGTTGGTCACTTTCACCATTTACAACTGACGTGACAACTGCCCTACCAAGTGCTAACTTACCACATGAATTGACTCTTGTTGAGAGTGTTGATGGTTTGTACCCTTACTGGTTCTCCAGTGCTCAACTTCGGCAATGGTTTGGCAGTTTTGACAAAGTGAAATTTGTTTTTCTGCTGTTTCACCTCAATTATATCACTCAAGCCTGTTATTGCTTATAGAATGAGTAACCTTTTTGTTATTGGAAGAATGGTTTGGGTGCAGTGTGGCATTGTTTTTTGTACTGGACTACTCTTCATGCCTTCAGCAGGTGTGTTTCTCCACTCAAGGATTGCCTTGTGCCGTATTTACTCAATTTTTTTGTGATTCCTTTATACAAGATGCCATCATGGGCTGTGAATTTATCTCCAAATGGCCACTACGCTTTTAAAGCAGCAGCTGTGTTGCTTTGAAAATTTCACACTTTTTGAGCACTCTTTCATCATAAATTCTTGCAACACTTTTTAAAATTCATTCATGAGATGTGTTCAATGCTGGCTAGGCCAGCCTTTATTGTCCAGAGAGAAGTTAAAACTCAGTCATGTTACTGCAGATCTGGAGTCACATGTAGGCCAAACCAGGTAAGGATGACAGACTTCCTTCCCTAAAGGATATTAGCATTTTTTTTAAGGCAAACAACAGTGGTCACCATTGGCAAAATTGTTTTGAATTTCATTAACTGCTAAGGGTTAACCTGGGGTACATGCATCACCATTATGCCATCGCCTCCCTTGTTGGGCTGTTAGCTTGATTTGAGCAAGGCGCCTGCAAATTGAATTCAATGTCTCTATCAGTTGAATGACTTCCAGGGAAATGTTGAGCTACTGCTTGCATGTTAGACATGGAAAGTTTGACACTCTGTCTTAGAATTCTCTACTTTTTCTTTGGGACTGCTGCTCTCAACAGCATATCTGCGATGTTCACCGTTTTCCCTTGCTTATATATCACATCTGAATGATATCTCTGTAGCTGGAATAACATTCTTTGCAGATGCTTTAGAGCATATAGTAGCAGCTTGAGGAAATTACTTTGAAGCAACTTGTGGTCAGATTAGTCTGTCATTTGAGATAACAAGGTGTAGAGCTAGATGAACACTGCAGGCCAAGCAGCATCAGAGGAGCAGGAAGGCTGATGTTTCGGGCCTAGACCCTTAGCATTTCTGAAGAAGGGTCTAGGCCCAAAACGTCAGCCTTCTTGCTCCTCTGATGCAACTTGGCCTGCTGTGTTCATCCAGCTCCACAGCTTGTTATCTCAGATTCTCTAGCATCTGCAGTTCCTACTATCTCTTAGCCTGTCATTTTATCTTTTTTAAATAGCTATTGATGATAATGTTCACAAGCAAAGACAATGTTTGGGCACTCTTTCTTGTAGTGAGCATTGCGTTGTTCTACTTACATTAAAGCCCTGGATGAAAATGTAACTGAATGTCCTTGCTGCATTAGGGTTGCTCCAGGACCTGTCTCACAGGTGTCGCACTGCAGAGTGATTCCATCATTCCGGCAGTTACAAGCCATTTATTACCTACCGACCTGACTGAACCAACTTGTTGTACAGTACAGAGTGATTTATCAGAATCTTCAGCTGATATCTCCCCAGTGGGCCTCAGTATCTGCTTATTGTTCGTCCTTCTAGCCATGCCTTTGTGTACAAAATGACTCAGCTCCTTCCAGTAAGAACACTGCTTACCCAAAATGGCACATTTTCTTCTCTTTTGCATGTTGTTCTCCACTGTATTTGCACCCTGATCATTGTCCTGAGTTTTGGGTCTGAAGTATCTATCAGAATAACGTAAGGTCTGGTCTGTTCAGCAATGAATGTGTTCTAGCTACTGGTTTCTGACCTCAGCACTTCTGCGCATGTCAATTTCTTTCCTGAGTGTACGTTTCTCCACTCTAAGTGGATGTGCTCTTACAGCAGGATCTCTTATACTTGTTACAAACTTGTCTCTAAATATATCATCTTTTGGTTGTACAAATTCACAGGTTTCTGAGAGTTCAGTTAGTGAAGTCACTTATTGATCAATGGATTCTTTTAAACATTGGGCTCCAATATTGAACAAGTACCATAAGTCATGTTCACTTGGGATTCAAAGTGCCTTCAAGGCGTTCAAAATTCCAGCTGTCTGCTTTTCTACTGTTCAGAGAGATTTGGTGTGTAATACACTTTGAAACAGTGCCTTGACAACAGTGATAAGTGCACAGATACTTATAGCTGCTCTGGTTTGATAAGCAGTTCCATTACAATTCCATAATTTTGCCATTGCATGTGAAAAAGTTCCCAATTCTGCTTCATATCACTTTTCATTTCAACCGGAGCTGGGAATAGAAAAGTTGCAGCCATTGTATCTTGCCCTGTGTTTCAGTTATGGCTTGTTTCTTTGTTCTTTTTTCAAATCCTTGCAGCAACTTTCACAGTTCAGTACCTTCCTGTACCTCTGTCACTAGCTTTACAATTTTATAGCTCTTCAACACTCAGTCTCAGCTCCATGTTATGAGCTTTCCAAGCAACTGTCCAGCCTGTATATGACTTTATGAAACTGGTTGCAAGTTGGCAGCTCCCGATCAATGTCATGGTTGAGGTCACATGAGTACTGCGAATCAAGAGACACTTTGGCACAGATTGCATTTCTATCCCAAACATATCCCTTGCTGGGATGCAGTTCCAGAAATGTTGGGAGGCTTCCAGCACCTTAAAATCGCAAAGCTCAAATATTTCCCTGGAGACTCCAGCAGTGCAAGTCTAATCTTGGTGGGCGATATTTAACAGATGTGATGGGAGTTCTTGCCCACCAGCTGGAGATGTGTTGGGTTAGCCATGCTGTCAGCTGCCTGGGTCCTAATCTCTGGAATTCCCTCCCTATACCTCTGTCTCGCTTTCCTCCTCTAAGATGTTCCTTAAATCTTTTCAGCCAAGTTTTTTGATATTTTCCTCTCCCAAAGGCCCTTGAATTAAGAGCTAATCAGGCAGCAATTTGCCATCAAGGATCCTGGGCTAAGGAATCCCTCCCACTAAGAGCAACCAGTGGCAGGCAATTCCTCATTGATCGGCAGCTCTAACTGGATGGCAGTGGGTACTGCTAATTTCCTTCGATTCTTCTTTCTCCCTCGCCACTTCAATCACTAGCAAAATAACTCCACAGAGGCCAATATCCCATCACCAAGTCACACTTTATTTGCACATGGAGAGTCCTTGACAGTGATCCAGTTCCATCAGAACCAGTTCTCAGAGTGACAGAATCTCCGCCTTTCCTGTTCTTATCTGTCAACCAGGTTAACAGCCTGAATCCGGGAACACATATTCTATGAAGTCCATCCGGCTGTCCTCGTTACAATCACTGCAACTTGTTCTGAAAATTTCTTCATATTTTGCAATGAAAACAACCACAACATACTCATTTAGAGTCATGGGGTCATATAACCATTTGTCCTTTCTGTATTCCCCACAGTGAATTCCCCTGACTCTGCCTCTAATGAACCCACAATCGTTTTAGCCAAACATTTCCTTTTTACAAATCTGTAGAAGCTTTAACACACTGGTTTTATGTTTCTGCCTGGATTGCATTTATATTACATTTTGCCTTGCCTTATCAGTTTCTTAGTCCTCTTTTGTTATATTTTATAAAACTTAAAATCTTCAGAATTGCTGCTATTTCTGACAATTTTATAGGCCTTTTCTTGTTATCTTATACAGCCTTAAACTTCCTTTATTAGCAGTTGACTGACCATTTTTGAGTTTTTGCACCTTGATGAATGTATAGAAGCTCTGAGTTGTGTAATTGAGCATAGAATCCCGACAGAGTGGAAACAGGCCATTTGGCCCAACAAGTTCACACCACCCCTCCGAAGAGCATCCCACCCAGACCCATTCTCCTATCCCTGTTTGTTCCATGTCTAACCCACCTAACCTAAACATCCCTGTGCACTACGGGCAATTTAGCATGGTCAATCCATGTGTCTTGCACATCTTTGGACCATGAGACAAAACCGGAGCACCCGGAGGAAACCCACGCAGACACGCAGAAACCCATGCAAACTTCACAGAGACAATTGCCCAAGGCTGGAATTGAACCCGGGTCCCTGGCGCTATGAGGCAGCAGTACTAACCACTGAGCCACCATGCTGTCTTTAACAACTATTCATTGCATATGTACAATCATGTTTTTTAATGTAATTTTCCAGTCCAGCTCAGCCAATTCATGCCTCCCACCTTTCATAATTAATTGTATCAAAATTTAACATCTTGCTTCAGAATGAGCAACCTTCCTTTTAAATATAATGTGAGGTTCAATTATCTTGTGGTCACTCATCCCTAAAGGTTTTTTCACAATAAGATTATTAATTAGCCCTTTTCATTACATAATGGTACATCTAAAATTGTATGCCCTCTAATTGACTCCTCAACACTCTGCTCTAGAAAACCATCCCTGACATACTCCAGAAACTCATCCTCCACAGCTTTGGTGCTCAGTTGGTTTACTCAGTTGGTTTACCCAGTCTACATGCTGATTAAAACCACCCATGATAACTATTGTCAATGTTACATGCTTCTTTCATCTCCTGATTAATATCATGTCCCATGCCACCACTTTTGTGATGGCCTACAAATAACTCCAAACAGTGTCCGCTGCCCTGCGCTGTTTCTTAGCTCTACGCAAACAGATTCCACACCTTGTTCTTCCAATCTGAGACCATCCTTTACTAATTTACTGATCGTATGCTTTATTATCTGTGCAAATCCACCTCCTTTTTCTTCTTGTTTATCATTCTTAAATGTTGAATATCCTTGAATATTCACTTCCCAGCCCTGGTCACCATGCAGCTACTTTTCTCTGTAATGACGATTAGATCATACTCATGTCTTTCTATTTGTGCCCTTAGATCATCCACCTTGTTGTGAAAGCTGCATGCATTCAGATAGTGTGCCCTTAACTTTGACTTTTTGACAATATTCCACTTTCAATGCTTTGCTTTAGGAAGTGGAATAGCCATTTATGAGAGCTTTGGATTAATCTGGTCACTGTGGCAAAATCTCCTGCATTTTGTGCTTCTTAAATAGGACACGCCACTTGGTAATAAAATTGGTTTGTGTTGTTTGGGTTCTGGAACAGCACTTGGAATGCACTCCCGTAAAGCAAGGTTGATTGGAAAGGTCAGAACTAATGTCAAAATACAGTGACGGTCTTTGTTAGAGAGCGCGGAGGTGATAAAAAACATTGAATTAATTCCTGAGAGAAAACAAATTACGTTTCATTGATTGTGACAGTGCTAAGTGGCAATTAATATCAATGTGATTGACTGTCTCAGAAACAACAGCCCTTGCACCACGGTTACAGAGAATTGGGCTTTACAAAAATAATGCACTGTGACATTTCTGTGTCTCTAGGTGACATTTCAGTTGTCTTTTTCAACCAGATTGTACAACACACAATAAAGTGTCTCCATGTCCCCCATATAACTGGGGACTGAGTTCATAAGCCTGTATTAGTGCTGATTATCTTGCAGAACGTGCAGCCAAATAATCATGAAATCTGTTTCTTTTCTTTAAGATGCACTCCTAAAAAGCACAGAATATAGATTAGTTTCCTGATGTGTGGAATCACAAACTGATACAGCACAGAAGAGGGTTACTCAACCCATTGTGCTTGGGTAATTGAACTTCCATTGCCCTTGCTCTTTCCCCATTGCCCACTATTTTCTTCCACATATTTATCCAATTCCCATTTGGAAGTTCTTATGAAATCTGCTTCCAACACCTTTATAAGCAGCACATTCTAGATCATACCAATTTGCTTTACCAAACAATTCTTTTCATATCTCCTCTTTTTCTTGTGCCAATTATCTTCATTTGCTTAATGTAGTGCTCCCTCTTCACAGTCAAGCTCGATTGATGTCCCATTCAATTAATTAACTCAATATTGATGTGGGCAGGGAATTTCAAATTGGCCTGGTTTTTCCCAGAAGGAATGAGAGGGTGGAAAAAGCTCTGAGACTGAATCATTGGTTTTACACATCTTCAGAAATTAAGGAAACAGTAAGCACAGGAACTATAGACTTCTACTTTTTGGGACATTAGAAATGAAAAACAATTACTTATACATGAAAAAAGGAAGACTTGCATTTATATAGCATCCTTCATGGCCTCAGATGAAACATGGGCAAGAAGTAAAGATCTGTGCAAGAGAACAGAGCTGTTTGGAATGGTTGCTAAGCATAAGTTTAAAATTCCATAAATCAAATGAAGATATGTTTCAATTTACGACGGTGAGAAGAACTTTAAAAAGTGACATCCAAAAAAGAAAATTGTCAATGTTTGGTCAGAGCTGAAAAGCTACAGACGTCCCTTCTACTGGGAAAATTGGAGGGCAGCTGGTAGAGAGGGGCCCTAGGTGTGTTGGCTGATGGATGTCACGTGGTTCCAGACAGTGGATTTATGGAACAAACACAGAAAACACTGGAAAAATTCATCAGATATGGCAGTATCTGTGGAGAGAGAAAAACAGAGTTAGCATCCCAAGTCCAGTGTGACTTTTCTTCAGAACTGCAAGTGGATATTTGAGGATCTCTCAAACCAGATGAGCATGATTGCACCTTGACAGAAGAAGCAGCAACAGTTAGGCCTCAGAATCCATGAGGCCATTTGCAATGTAGGAAACATGGCTGCCAATGTTCTCACCACGCAAGCAGCAATATGATACTGACTGGGTAATCCATTCTTGCAATGTTGTTTGAGGGATTATTATTGGCCAGGGCACCCCTGTTCTCCTTTGAAATAATGTCAGGGGAACGTTCACATGCATCAAACAGTATCTTCTCTTACAGATGCACCTTTGATCCTCAGAGTTCTGTCCAAGCTGTGCGGCAGCTCCAAAGGTTCATGCCTGCCGATCTGCATGCCAATGCCATGCCAACGCATTCACTTCCGGTTTCTCCAGCCAGACACAGGCTTCAGAGGTCCACACAGCAGCTGGGGAAATCCAAGAGTAAGTGGATAGATTATGAGTAAAGACTAGATTAGCTTCTCAACTCCTGGGTACAAAATCCAGCCTGGGACTCAAGTGAGTGCTACACTGTCAACCCTGTTCCCTCAAATTTACAGACATATGAACAAGGAACAAAAGTAGGCCATTCAGCCATTAAATAAGTTCACGGTTGCTCTGATTTTAACTCCAACTCTACATTCCTGGAGTCTAGAAGAGTCAGAGGTGACTTAATTAAAACATATCAGATTCTGAGAGAACTTGTCCAGGGGGATTTTTAAAGGATGTTTCCTCTTGCGGGACAATATAGAGCTAGGGGTCACTGGTTAATAATAACTGGTCACCCATTTAAGACAGAGATGAGGAAAAAATTTTTTCTCTCAGAGGGTCGTGGGTTTTTGGAATTCCCTCCCTCAAAACTCAGTGGATGCAGAATCTTTAAATATTTATAAGCCAAAGGTAAATAGATTATTGATTACCAAGCGGATGAACAATGTGGGTGGCACAGTGGTTAGCACTGCTACCTCACAGCGCCAGCGACCTGGGTTTAATTCCACCCTCGGGTGACTGTGTGGGTGTCCTCCGGGTGCTCTGGTTTCCTCCCAGAGTCCTAAGGTGTGCAGGTCAGATGGATTGGCCATGCTAAATCGTCCATAGTGTTCAGGGATGTGCAGGCTGGGTGGGTTAGCCATGGGAAATGCAGGGTAGATGGGGTGAGTCTGGGTGGGATGCTGTTTGGAGAATCGGTGTGGAATTGATGGGCTGAATTGCCTGCTTCCACACTGCAGGGATTCTGTTGGGGATACACAGGAATGCAAAGTTGGGGTTAAAATCAGAGCAACCAAGAACTTATTTAATGGCTGAATGGCCAACTTTCATTCCTTATGCATATGTCTGTAAATTCGAGGGAACAGGGCTGACAGTGTACCACTCACTTTAGTACCAGGCTAGATTTTGTACCCAGGTGTTGAGAAGCTTTTTATTCAGCTTTTATTCAAGTGCTGGCAATTAAACCACAAGCATTATATATATATATCTCTGATTTTCAGTATTGGAAAATATTCCTGATGTGGCTAATGTTTATTGTGTCAGCCCAGCGGGGTGGTGGGGCAGAGAGAAGAGGGATAACCCTCTCTAATCCGAGTGAGTGGAAAAACAATTCACACCATACACAGCAAGACAGAAACCTTTGATTTATAAGGGACAACAAGGTGCAGGGCTGGATGAACACAGCAGGCCAAGCAGCATCATAGGAGCAGAGAGGCTGACGTTTCCGGCCTAGACCCTTC